GGGAAAGATTTAAATAGCTTTAGGGGAAAAAGAACTTGCAATCGGGAGCTAATGAATACTTTTCCCCCAAACTCCCTCTCTTCTCTTGCTTACAGGACTTCCAAATGTAGAATAAGAACATCTACTAATCTTGTTTTACCTCTGTCTTCAGTTTCTTTGGGTTCCTCAGACGTCTGCATGGATTTTGCAAGCACTTTTTCAGTCAGCTGCTTAGGGATTCTACAAAAAATAAAATAAGCAATAAAGAATTTGTGTCATAACAGAAAATGTAACCATGTCTGAGAAGCGGCCAGACTCCAGGAGATCCCAGTATCCTGTAAGTAGCAAAGCCACAGCCTTTGCACCGAAAAAACGTCTTACAGTAATCTTGTCTCTGGAGTTACTGGGCTTGTGCACTGCACAAAGGGGCAAAACGTTAACGCTTAACCTTGATACCTTAGTCCTCACAAAGCTGATGGATGGGCTTTCCTAAAACTGGGCCTGCTGTATGAGCTAGGATACTCTTGTACATGCATGGAGACCCAGCTGCCATATCCAGGTAGGACACTAGCCTTGGTATTGCTTGAGAAAGAACCCAATGCCAAGGAGAGATGTAATATTGCTACCCAGAATACCAACAGATTTTTAATCCTTAGCTTAAGAGGCAGCTTTCCAAAAGTGAGAACATTTTCAGTTACGCTGGTAAATAGGACTTCTTGGAAAGACCTTTCAGAAAACAAACTGCTGCATAAACAAAATCCAAATGTTTACGGCTCAGCCAGATAAGCTGTGGCAACTTGTGTGTGGCCACTCAGAGCAACCAGTCAAGCAAGTCATGAATGGAGTGAAACTACAGCAGAACCACATTATCCCTCTTCTCCCCTAAGAAACATCTGAGTCACTGCACAGATTCAGATACCTTATTGCTGAGAATCTCTTGGCTTTGGCTTTATCCAGAAATTTTTTGTATTTGGCAATCTTCTCCTCCAAAGCCTTAAGAACTGCCTTAGAGCCCTCCCTGGCACCTGGTACAGCCAACTGCGACTCCTCCTCTGCCACATCTTGATGCTGCTCCTTTTCCTCCTTCTCCTCTTCCTGCTCCTCCTCTGCAGCAGAATCACTGTCTGTTTCATCGAAGCCTGGCACATCTACAGGAACCAGGTCTTCTTCCGAGAACTGCGGTGCCACATTGATCCTCCCAAAGTTCTGCCGAACATGTGACATGAGTTGCTTGATTTCAGTGTCTGTATTATTCTTCTCTTCTGCTGGCTCCATGCTTGGTGCTACCGACTCAGAGATCTTCTCCTCATTATTATCCTGGCTTGATGTCACCGCTACTTCCAACGCAGGAGGCTACAAGAAAGAGCATAAAGGATATATTATCCACAAAGTCTGTCCCACCATCTCTGAGAGCAATTTCCATTTTCTCTCTTCTGAAAAAGCCTAAGATGCCAGGCTAATGATGGGATAATTACTGACATTTCTGGTGGTCAGGTGACTGTAAGGTGGCTCAAACATCTCTGTGAAGAGCATTGCTACCTGGTCCTCACCAAATTCAAGTGAGTGTCACCTGAATCGCCAGGCTAGAGCAGAGCCCAAGTTACATGGTACTCTGGGAAAAACAACAGCGAATACAACCAGAAGAACTGCATAATATGTGAGAAGAGGCAAGGTCATCGCATTCTTACCTGGGGACCTGTTTCTGCATTCGGTGGCTTCACAAAGAACGGAATTCTGCCTCTCTGCCAGTCATTGAGAACCATCTTGCTCACAGTTTGCAGGTCAGGCTCACCACCCTGAAAGAACCCAGTAACAATTTATGTCCACGTTTGCAGGGCACACCACCTTTCCACTACCTGTAAGCAACAGAAATGTCCGTATTTCCCACGTGCGGTAACAGGCCGCATGTTCTTCCAGCCTGCAAATGCAGAAAGTTGTCACACCTTTAGCAGTTTTCCAGTCCTAGAAGCAAGTTTCTCAAGGAAGTCTTCTGTATCCTTCCATGAATCAATTTTGTACGTCTTTCTGATGTACTCCGGTTTGGCTCTTTCCAGCACGGCACTAATATGATCTTCAGGGCTCTTAATCTTTTCAACTTGAACCTGAAAACAAATGACAGAATATCAAGCCTTTGGAAAGCGTGCATTTGTTCCTTCGAACCTGTCATACTGACGACAGCGAAGATCTTCTAGCATTTAGTGCAGATACATACCACTCCCTTCAGCACAATGTCTGTTTCTGTGTCTCCAGATGGATAAACTACACCCGGGCAGTCAATGAGAAAAATCCGCCGCATCAAGGTAATGTACTGCCACACCTGAAAGAGATCCGTGAGCCCCATGACACCTCCTTCCACACAGCCCTCGGTTCTGCTTTTTTAAGTGCACAGTTCTAATAATACCAAGTCTCGAAGATGACTGCTGTGTAACACACAGAAACCGAATACAACTCGGCATGCCTGTTAGCTAGCCAAGACATGGCGCACCTTGCTCCTTCTGTTTCAGCCAATGCTATCCCTAAGGATTTGCATCAAACTACTAACTCACAGGACCAAGGTGAGGAAACACCTTGAATATTGGAGGACGACCTCCGATACTCTGTGGTTTTCCTCTTCTGTGACCCTTAGCCTTAGTGATAACTAGGAGTAAAATGAACAGGCCAGCAAGAAGATTCCTGTAACTTTGTCTTATTCTTTACTGTCACATTCTTGAAGAACAGTTAGAAAACCAGCACTAAGAGAGCCTGACAGCACAAATACACCCACTCCTTCAATCTGGGAAAGCGCAGACACTGAGTCTGGGCCGCTGAGCATTCAGATCACAGTGCTACAGTACAGGCAGAGCGGGGACTCGGGAACGCTTCCAGCAGCAGTGCTTCAGAGCAATGCCTGTCCATCACCCCCCCCCCGCCTCAGGCTCAGGGTCACATAGCCAGTACAGTTCAAGTGCTAGACTTGAAAACGTCATTGAGCTAATTTTACATGAGTTCTGCCTTTGACAACGCACTTCCACAAATAACCTTCATCTTTACTGTAGGGACCTCTTCCTACCTTTGTTTCACCTGCAATTGGGGCCACATTGCAGACCTTCTTAGACCGTAATGTATTGATCACTGAGCTTTTGCCAACGTTCGGATAACCAATGAAACCCACACTGATCTGTTTCTTGTCAGAGTGTAACTGTTGAGAAATAACACACCTTTTTAACACCTCACAAAGACAGACAGAATTATTACTACAGTTCTGAGCATTTCAGCAGCTACTGCTCTCACTACACTAGAAAGCAAAGGAGACTCCAAAGTACCAGTTAAAAAAAAATGAGATCAGCTCTTTTCCATCAGGAGAAATGCATAAGGGTACAACCAACTTGCCATCCAAGAACTCCAAGCATTGAAGATAAAATTTGCTACTTCAAAAGGAAGATGTGAAGCCCTTGCAATCCTCTACAATTAATCGTGATCGCCTTACTTAGAAATGGTTTAGGCTGAGAAACCAAGCCGATACAAACAGTAGCTGGGGACAGAATATAGATGTGGCTTGAAGAGACAGTACCTAATGCAAGGGCAAGAGAAGGTGCCTTTCTTGCAAAAAGGAAGACACTTAAAAGGAGAACATCTTAATAGAATATGCATACATGCAGGACAGAAGCAGGTGTGAAATATGTTCCTTTCTTCTGCACATTCACATGAGACCTAGGAGTGTCAACGGGATACTCTGTCTGCAAGAAGCCCGGGCCAGAGACCGATGGCCAAACCCACTCTTTCTGAATCTCCTCGTTTTGACAAACATTTTGAAGACATTGGAAGGAATATTTTCCACGTTCTTTCCAAAAAAGGGAGCTTTACTGATAGAGTCGTTTGCTGACAGAATGGCCACAGGAAAGCGTACTGAACCCCAAACGCTAACAAAACAGAAGACTCCACACTAAGCACCCCCACCCCCCCGAACAGCCAAACAAATCCCCCCGATCGTTCAGTACCTTTCCAAACTGCCTTAACAGCTGTATGAAAGCACCTTTGCCAAAAGGGTTTGTGAGGCTGGCATGAAAAGCAAGTGTTGGATACTCCTGGGAAAGCACAGCAACCCAGCGCTTCTGCGGAGGAAAACATGACTGGGTTAGGGATCCTGTGCCGCGGAGGTGGTGAAACAATCTGCTTATGAGCAGAAGCACACATCGTCTTCGCTTGGGTCACAAATGCAACTGCCTATGAAAACTGCCATGTCAGAACTTCTGAAGCATTTCACCAACCCAACAACTAAAGGACTGAGCATTGTTTTTATGAGACACAAACAATTTCCAAAAAATGTCTTCACTGCTAGCTAAAACTAATTAGTTTAACAATATAAAGCAAACCAGCTGTGGTGGATATGGATCTTAAGCAGACTAACATTTAGCATACTCTGGAGACATCAGCTCAACTGTTAAATCCAGACAGAGGAAGCAGAGAATTTGTGGCTGGTGAGGGTTGCTCAACTCAGCCAAACTTGGGCAGATTTACATTGTAATTGTTACTTTTATAGCAGGCGAGCAGAGAGTTGCCACTGACCCAGTTACATTACGCCCTTTGAGACCAGCATGAGGACTGGCAGCAAAATTAAAGCAGAGGCTACAAAAGCAACAAAGAAGGTCCAAGGAGTAACAGGCAGGACTGTGCTTACAGTGGCCCAGGTAGGAACAAGATCACATTTGTTCAGGACAAAAATGAGATGTTTCCAGTGTTTCTCCTTTTTAAGGTAAGATTCCACGTGAGGGGAGCGAGTACCCATGGGATCCCTGGCATCAAGAACTTGAACGACAACATCTGATGAGTCTATCACCTGAAAAAAAAAAAATCATGCAGAAGGAAAGGATTTTACACAAGACATCTATACCTCCAAAATGAAAACTACTAATTTTCTAAACCACATCATTGATTTAAAAGCCTTGTATCCTTCCCGAACAACTGCTACTTCCCCACAGACTAGTGAAGCTCAGACTAACATCCACTGATCCTCCACTCTCTCTTCCCCTAACTCCCCTCCACATCCAGGCTGGACACCTGAATAGCTTTTACCTGTTCTCAAGCACCAGGAAGACGCTTGTAGCACTTGGGAGAGAAAACCCTGCAGCCAAACAGGAAAACTAATTGCTTCAGCAGACAAAAACAATGCTCGCCATCCGTTCTGCAGCAATTCAGTCCTGCCATTTCATAAAGGACCAGGGTATAAAGTATGTTTTCTGGATCAGTATGAAACACACAACCAAGTAGGAACCTGCTGTTAGTCCACTAAGCATCTACAGCTGGGAGCTGTCATTTTATTACTTGCTTCTCGCCAAGTGAATTTGTTTCACAGCTATTGCCTGCATTTTTGGCAGTGTCTTACTGAAATCTGTTTTGCTTCTATTGCTCCCAGCACTTTTAGATCTAAATGAGAATGTTTTAAGCTACATTTGGAAATCCAGAGCAAAAAGTCAAGCAATTTCACACCTAACAATCACTGAGAGCACACCAACTGCTCTTACAACCCCAATTCATTCTCAGTCAAGGTGACTCAGGAACTGAGGGTCAGAGCCCTTCAAAGACGACCCTATCAACATGCCAGATGGTTTTAGCCTAAAGAAACTTGGAGGCCTCTGACTTGGAGTCATTGTCTTAACGTTTTCGAGAAACTTTACAGCAAATTCAATTGTACCAAAGCTTCCCTAACAGAGCAACAAATGGTTTTCAGAGCTTTTCTGATTACTGCTGTATAGGATTTGCAATGCTGTGCTGAAGCACCTGACTTCGTAAAGGCTAATGGACACAACTGCTGCAAATCTAAGCTTTGCTTACCTTGTAGAGCTCACCCCAGATTCTTTTGGACTGTCCTTTCTTATATATTTCCTCTTGTGCCTCTTCCCTGGAAGTGGATTACCAGAGACATCAGCAATCACAGTAACAGGGTTACAGTGTTCTCCGCTCTAAAGCCTCTTAGCCATTTGCAGACAAAAGAGGAGACAAGCCCCAGGTAACCGACAGCTGGGATTTTGCCCCCACCCCCGTCCCCCGCCTTCCATCCACCCATTTGCAGACAGATCCTACAAATACACGCTCTTTCAGAGATTCCTATCTGCCCACTGGTCAGCTCCCTATCTAACCCAAAACATGAGTATGGAGATATTCTGACACACGACAGAAAACAGAAGGGTCCCATGGAAGCAGCAGTTTGATTAGATACACAGGGACAAAACAGGATTAAAAAATCCCAAGTTCAGCTAATTTCATTTTCCTTACTCCTCATACAATACCAGAATTGATGAATGTGCTAGACCGTTCTTTGACAATAAAGCTGGCCTTTCAGAAACGTGAACAAGGAATAACTTCTCCTTTCTGTGTACCTTACACCAGTGTCTTCTGTCACCAGGTCTCGGTCCTTGCTCTGATCATAAGATCCTGATGAGGCTTCAGCATTCTCCACCAGAGACTGCACATCACTTGCAGAAAGAGTTGGTCTTTTCCTCTGTGACTTGGGGCCAAATGTTGTTTCAAACGTTTCTGTGTCAAGAATGTGAACTCTGGAGGCCTAAGGAAAAACAAGTTGGTGAAAAACCCACAAGCACTATTCCTTCCACTCACGACATGCAGTGTACGAGACCTTGGTTCAATGCAACCCTGCAACCAGTGACAAGAGTTACAGGCACTTTCCTAACAAAGTTTGAGTATTCCAGCTCAACCTTTGAGAAACATGAGTGGATAATTAATAAGCAACAAAACACACTGCACTTGCCAAAGAACTATGCTTCAGTTCTTTCACTATAAATGATGTCCAATGCAATTACAGCTACAAGATGAAAATTTAGCTGCTATCTTTGATCATTTCTTGTTTTTCTAACAAGTGCACAAATCTCGCCAAATTCATGGAGTTTTGTCAGGGATAATTACAATCAAAATTGTAGATTTTAAAGCCTGTAATGAATGCCAACTTTTCTTGGAACAGCATACAATTCATTGCTGAAAGAAGTAATTTGACTTTGTAAAGCATATTTAGGTTTCTATAACTTTTTCCTTAATTTAGGTAACATTTTTATGACATAAACCTGGAAAGTTTCCATTTGAAAAAATAGCTAGCAAGAGTCCAAAGTCATAGTTCAGACGTCATGAAAGACACATGGTAAAAACTAAAACTTGATCTACTAGAAAAGCAAGCTGCATGTACAAGAACATCCGATTCAAGATAAAAAGCACGTATTTGAGTTCAAATTCATCCCACGAGAGCATTTGCAGTGACACGTCCTCAGAAAAGGTCCCTCTGGCACACGAGCTATCAGAAGCATTAGAACATAAGCTGGCAAGCTGCTACAGCCATCCTAGGCTGGTACGCTAGCCTAGGACCTTTTAGGGTAAGTTTCCTATTAGGAAATGAGAATTTCTAATAACAGGTGATCTCACAAACTATGGGGAGGTAACACACGGTTTCTTTGCCTTCACATTCGATGCCCACAGTGACAGGCTCTCAAAACCATCCCTCCCCAGGCCACCCACTCCCACGGCCCTAGAACACAACGTTTTACCCGAGGGAACAGAGCCAGCACGACCTCAAGTAACACCTGTGACCGCCCTGTGCGCACAGCCCAGCCTTCGCCCGGCCCAGACGCATGGTACCCACGTGCGGTTTGATCCGGTCGTAGAACAGGGACATCGGCAACTTCCTCTGCTTCATCACCACTCTGTATGGATCCTTCATGACGGTTTCCATCTCCTCCTGAAATTTCTGCAGGGATGACTGCTTGATCACGCGAGTATTTCCTGCATATAGAAATAAATCTTGCACCTGACCGTTCCTCATCCTAACTGCTTCAAAGACCCAAGGTACACTAATAAACTTATTAATACTCCATCTGGAATCAAAAATACCAGTGATAAAAAATAGAGGATTTGACTTGAGACAAACCTCAAACTAGCTCAAAGAAGCCATTCACTTTCTTTCACGCTATCTAAAGAAAAAAATTAAAATTATCCCTAGGACACTTAACATACATAGGCTACAACGTACACACACACACAGGCAAACCCCAGCAAACAACCAAAGGAGACAAAATAACCACACTTTCAAGGAGTGCGAGGAAAGCAAACGCCCCAAGTACAAGCACAAGCAAAGTGTAAGCAGCACCTGTGCCTACTGGGGGTCCTTCACCGCCACCCTCAGCATCTGTCCCACACAGCACTGGGACCACAGCTCTGAAACAAATACCCTCCAAGCACACAACGTTCACCAGTTTTTATGCTTGCTGAGTCTGAAAGTTGAGAAGTAACTCACCAAACCATTTAATATTTGGTTCCACTCTTGCAACCGTGCCCGGTGCCACTGAAGACTGGTACTGCAGAGGTTTAATCACTTTACCATGTTTGTTTCTAAGTGAAAAATGAGAACACACGTAAATACGCCAGGGCAGCATCCAACCCTCAGCACTTCTGCTCACCACACCAGAAGTACATCCACAAAATCCAGAGAGACCCTTCACCGAGAACCAGTGCCCCCGAGCCTGTCACCGGAGACGGCACCGCCCAGAAAGGCCACGCGACTCGACCACCAGCAGCAGTGACGGCAGCCAGCACGCCCTGCGAGTCCTCGCTCCAGCTCGGCTGACGCCGGGGGAAGGCAGTTTACGTCAGACCGGGAATGGCTTACTGCTCTGCAAACAGCGTCGAGCTACCTCGTCGTGGTAAGCACAGCTTGCTTCTCTCAGGAGCTCGCGTGGGGATTTGCAACCAGCTCTACCCATCAGCCGGAGCAGACACTCGTCGTCAGATAATTTCCAAGTGGAGACCTGGCTTAAATTTAGTAATTCTTAAAAATGTCTATTCCCCAGCCTGCTCTCAAAACGAAGTGAGATCTGGCAAACCAAAGCAAAGCCGCCGACCCGCGCCAGGACCCCCTGCCTTCATGCCTTTTTTT